TATGTGTCTGTAATTTGATATTTCATTGTACAAAAATTTTATTTTTACTGTTGAGTTGTTGAAGATGACAAAAATTTTATTTTTACTGTTGAGATGTTGAAGATGACAAAAAATCCAGAATTTCTATGGCCAAACTTATCCTCGAAATAAAAAAAATATTGCAACCAAAAATAAAACACCAAATAATTTTTATATATTTTTAGTTAATATTTTCTTGTATTTTTATATTACATTTTATTATAAAGAAACTTAAAACTAGAAAAATTACATTAAGGAAAATTATACATTTTACTTCCTTATAACTAAAAAAAATCACATAAAACATGGAAAGTTGGTCTAGCGTTGTAGTTGTTGGCTCAATTAGTTACAACACAGTTTTAGATTTGCAACGTTCAAAAAAGAAAAAAAAAAATAACTAGCCACAGGTTGTGTAGAAACAAAAAAGCAAATGAAAGAAAAAAAAAATAAAAATTGAAAATGAAACTTTAATTCAATCAATTGAATTCGATTAAAGAAAATAGACAACAAGAAAATTACATAATGTTGTACCAATGAAAAAACACAAAATGCATTGTAGTTATAAATTACATGTTGTAAATCAATTGAAAGTAAAAAAAAATGAAAATGACGAAGAAGATATAAATGAAAATAAAAATGTAATGTAATCGAGTATTCTGTAATGTATGTTTGCTTTTAAGGCCTATTGTTATTAACAAAAAACTGATATTGTATTATATTAAAAATAATAAATAATAAAACAATGCATTTTTTATTATTGAAGTGTTGTATGTGTACGTAATTGTTTTATATTTCATATGGGCATTACGTTATTTCATCAGTCCAGTTGAAATAAATTTTAAATAAAATATAAAAAAATATAACCATTGATTTCTTTTGTCCACTGTTTTTGCCAAGTTGTGTGTTTCTTTTGTTTGTAATTCACTTATATATATATGTATGTAAGTATGTACATGAAAAATATTATAATTATTTGATTTTTTGCATTCCATTTTTTTCCAAACTAGTGTTCAATAGGCATATTTTATTGCTGCTGTTATTATTCTTCTTATTTCTTTCTTCATTTTCTTCTATATTCTGTGATAACAAGATGATGTAATCTTTGTTTCAATTTGAGTATGTTAGCTTAGAAACAATAACAGCAACAACAACAACAACAAAATATCAAATGACATTGTTTACAATTTTAATACAATGTAAGTATTTTTTTTTGTATGTGTTCGGCTTTTTCTGTAATGTATGAGAGAGATTAGAATTATCTTTGACAATTTTTTTTGTTTTTTTTTTTACATCTAAATATTTTGTTTTTTTATTTAAGGAATATAAGAATATTTTTGTTTTTATAATAACATTATATTATATATGTATGTATTTTTTGAAATTAATAGTTATTCAATATTGCACTTTACTAAAGAAAAGTAATTGCTAAGTTTTTGAATTAGACTTAAAATTAGTTTTCAATATATTTTTTGTATTCGAAATTTAATGCCATGTATTTTGTAGAACTTAAAATACGTTTTATATAATCATCCCATAAATATTGGAATTTTAGAAAAGTTCAAAATTGTTTCTGGTCTCAAAAAATGTATTGTGATGATGAAGAGTTTAAAACATATATTATATTATAATATATGTTTCATTCGAAATTCAATTTTTAAGTTCTTTTTTATATTAATATTTATCTTTTAAATTTTTAACTTTGTATTGCAATTTCTTAGACATTTTTATTTTAGTTTTAGTTTTAATTATTCAAAACTGTACTTTAAAGCATTAAGTCATTTATGCTCTCAATGCCTTATGACGCTTTTAGGATATATATTAGTCTTCAATTGTGAAAGGACATTGTATTATTAATTGCAAATATAATCCTTATATACTTCATTGTCCTGTAACTCCTGTCAGCACAAAATCGGCCCCAAATAGTTTAATTGTTTGGAATAGTTTTCAAGGATATTTACAGATACTTCTATAATTTTTAGAACTCGGAATTTTGTTTTTTTTTAATTTTTCTGCCGATTAACTTTTTATTGATAAAAAAAAATATGAGAATGCATCTATTCAGATTCCCACGGAAGATTTTTATTTCTCAAAATATGTATTTTGTTTACTTTTGCTAAAATTTGTAAAATCCGAGATCTAATAGTACACTAAAGAAAACGGAACAAACTACTTTAAAAATAGCATTTTCTGGAAAGTATTACTTTTTCCTGACTGGAATTTTAGACCTATACCATACTAACTAATTTGAAAATTAAATTTAAATTTTACTACTGTAATCGACAAATTTGTAGGGATATAAACTAAAATTCCCGATAGTTATTTTTAATATTGATTAAATTGGATATTATTTTGAGCGAAATTTTCGAGATAATCAATGATTTTCAGAACTAACATTAAATGCTTGATATGAATACAGAATCAGAGATTCTGATGTGTTTCATTGCCTGGAAAATATTAACTTTGATATATTTATATTAAAAAAAAAATAATTAAATTTGAATGAAATTTTATAACGAAAAATAATTCCCTTTACTGAAATTGTTTCTAAAATCTCATTGAAAATCTACAAATACTTTAGATTTTGGAAAAAGGGGGTGCAAACAATTATGTTTTAAATTTTCGACTGTAATGAAATTTCAGCTTAGCATATATCTGTAAATATGAATAACAAATCGGAATATAATAACTAATAAATAAACCTTCTGAAATCAGAAACGCCGGTGAGCGGAGCAGTATCATATGCTACTTTACACTGAACAGTTTCTGTGGATTTATATTCCGAGTCTGGGTAATATTTCTCGATATTTGCACTCTCTTGACCGAAATATCATCTGATCATAATTGCAAATTATAGGCGTTGTGATAGATCATAACCTGAACCCCAACAAAATTTCCTAGTCATTAGCGCTACATTTCCGCCATCTAGTGTGGTAATGATATAAGAATACATAAACCCCGGTAAAGTTTAGATAGAACTTTCGTATCCGGGTAAGTAAATCAATATATTGTGTATCAACTTAAAGGTCAACTTCTCTATTACTACCATACTATCAACTTCTCTGGTGTATATCATTCAGGGGTAAATATATACGCCACATAATTAAACTTTTTCCAATTCACACACAAAAGTGTGGGTCCATTTCACACACCAAATATTGATCGATCTTCACCTAAACAGTCATGCTATTCTATGGTAAGAGCAATTTCTCTGTGTGATGGTCGAGTCATAGTAGTGCCCAGAAAAATCGATAAAAATAAAGTTTGTGGGCCACACAAATCTATAATACCCTGACGACATAGTTGCATAGGGTATACAAATCAAAGCAACAGAAGAATTAAAAACACCTTCAGTATTTTCGGGACAAAGTAGTGTTCAGGTAATAAATAAAAAATATAATTATTATTATGATGATTTTTTGAAATCCTGGTAGTTAACTCTCCATTGATCTTAATTAAAAGATCGATTTAAAAGACAACAATTTTTTTTCATATAAAAGGGCTAAAGCTTTATCAACAATTTATTGTTATATATGAAATATTGAAATATTGGAAAAAAATCGTTAAAATTTGAATGCCATGTCCAGAATGCTATATTAATTTAGAATTTTAACTCCAGTCGATCCCAGTAGTTAATAAAACATTTGAAGTCTATATATTCCGATTTCATTCAATTTAATTTTATTTTTGAATTTATATTTCTTGTCTATTGAAATTATTTTTTTCCAAAAAATAAGACGCTTTATTTTGATTTTTGAGGATTTCATAATGAATGTATATTTCAAAGACTAAAGACTACTTTTTTCTAATGAAGTGCCTTAAGACTAATATTTACATTCCTTATAACGTATAGGTAATTTTTAATTTCACAAAAATTTAAGTATTAAAATATAAATAATGAACAATGATAAAAATAAATTTTAAAGTTACCAAGGAATTGCAATTTTAAGATAATTTTTGTAAATATTTTTAATCACTCCACAGTTTTGTTGACCAGAAACAATACCTCAAGTGAATTTTATAATTCTTCTCTAAAAAAATATTTTACATTTTGTTAAACTAAAACATTTGTTTTATAACCCATTACCAATTTTTATTAATAGCTTCTTGAACGTTTACAAGAGGAAACGGAAGCCAAAAATTCTTGTAAGCCCAAAAATAGAAATGAAAAATAAAGAGAATTTTCAATGAAAAACAGAACATTAAAAAATAAACAAATTGTAAAGTCAGACTAAAGTAATAAAAATAAAAAAAATATACACAACAAATAAATTACAAAAAAATTAAAAGAAAAAAATAACTTAACAAAGCAGGAAACATTGCTCATATAAGGAAAATTAAGGCGAAGACAAAAAACTAAAAAAAAAATTCTATTAAAAATAAACTAAATAAAATACATTTTCTTTCAATTCCTTAGACTCCAGACTTTTTTACAAAAAGTCAGACAATCACTAATTGGAAAAAAATGTTCAAACGGTACTAAATAGACTCTCGTTTTTTATATAAATGTATGTATGTTTAAATTATTTGTTAGACTTAGTTTATAAATTAACACAAAAACATTAATAACTAATAACTAAAAAAAGAAAATATTACAAAAGAAATAAAGAATTTCATTTCATCAGTAGGAGGGGGAGGAGGAAATGTTTTTGTCTAGATTTTCTCTAATAATAATCACACATTCATTCTTCTGCTTGAAGAGAAAGATAAATAAAAAATAATAATAAAATAACCCACCCAAGAAACATTTCTAAGCTCTATGTCAAACTACCCACATATAAAACCTCCATACACGCGCACATACATACATATGTACAGACGTACATCAATCTAACAGAACGACAGAACTTTTCTATACCTCATTACAAACGAAACAGTTTTCAGTTTTGTCGCCCCAGAATAATTACATGTAAATTGGATTGAACGGTGTGTTGGGGTTTCTGCCTTGTTGTCATCATCGTCGTCGTCGTCACCATAATCATCAGCGTCACTTAATTTCGACGATCGGCTGCACGTGCCATGGAATGACGTGATTTCTCTTTTTCTCTCAGCTCCTTGATAGCACCCACTGTGCCCACAATCAGTTTGGCAGTGAACTGGGTTTGTGCTCCTGCCGATGATTTGGTACTGGAATTTGCATCCCGATCCAGGCCAGTGTTGGCGTTGGCATAGGCACTGGTATAGCCAACATAGTTGTTGTTAAGATCGCGACCGCAACTGCATTGATGGGACATGATGATGCTGCTGCCGTGGATTGGGTTTTTTGCTTCGCTGCGAATGGGGTGGGTGGTGGATAATAAATTGTATTTTAAATGCGGTTAGGAAAAGTTTCCGGATTTATTTTCTTTTTGTAGTTGTTGTTGCTGTTTTCAATACTTTTTTGTTTTGTACGAAAAGTTTTTTGTTTTCTCTTCTTTTAGATTTTTTATTTTTGGTAAAATGTTCTTTCTTTGTAATTTGCTCCAATTAAATTTTTCGACTTTTTTATTATTTGTTTTTAATTTTTATTTCGGTAGCAATTTGAAATGTTGTTTTGTGTGAGTGTATTTTGTCAATTCTTCATCTATTAACAAATGAATAACACCAAACTATCAAAAAAACTATTCCACAGCAATCAAATTTTATTAGAAATTAGTTTCAGAAATTGTAAAACCAAAAACACAAACTGTCGATTTTTAATAATTCTTCAGATATCGTTTTCTTCTTCTTCTGTCGTCTATCCGTTGTCTTAACGAAAGCAAACCGTTTCAGTGAAATTTTTACGTAAAACTGATCGTCAAACCAACGCCAACCAAATGAACAACAAACCGAACCAAAGATACAAACGCGCTCATACCTATGCATGCACATACACACATAACTATCTGCCTGGCTGACTGGTTGGCTGCCTGGCGGTTGTTGTATGCCCACAACAAACCCCCTTTGCATTCATTCATCGTTGGAGCGATATTTGTTTGGGTGTGTGTGTATGCCTATCCAATTGAATTGATCACCAAGCCAAACATTGATACTCTGCTCACTCAGCGCGCACACACATTCAAAGAGAATTTCACGCTCTCACAGATACTCTGTTGTTAGAGCTTTTATTGTTTACAATAATATTGAAAATAAGCACTTGTTTTGTTTTTGTTATTTGGGTGGAAGAAAACTTTCACATACATAAGCTTTTACTGTCTCACTCACTCACTCTCTCAAAAAAGATCATGATGATTTGGGAGAAAACTTACAAAACAAAAGTTCTAATATTTATTTGATGGACCTGTAAGTTACAGTGTCACTATTCGGAAGAAAATGTGGACATATTTTTTGAAGTGATTTTGAACTAAGAGTATAAAATGAACAACATTAAATTTTGTCATAAACATTTTAAGAGTTTTCCGATGCTTCCAAAATAATCGGTATTTTTTCAAATTAAAACTCGAATAAGTAAATATATTGTAAATAAAAAAAAAAAAATAAATAAATAAATTTAATAAATTATGTTCAAAAATATTGGGTTGTGGAAAAAGAAATCCGTTGGTTTTATATCAACTATAGGACATTATTTAACATGCTTCTGAATGTCCGATATGGGCCAAATATGCACCGTTTTGTTGCATAATTTGTTACCATTTTAAAGGTAACTTCATAATAACTCTATAATTCAAGTCCTGATCTCTTTTTGCAAAAAAAAAAGACTCTAGTAGTCGCTTTTCACAATTTTCACAATCCTCCCTAGATATCATTAAAGAAATTTTGCAATGTAAGAAAAAGATGATAATCGCATGCTGCCAAATCTGGATAGTATGGCAGATGCATTAAAACTTCCCAACCAAGCTCCCGAAGTTTCTGGCGAGTCACTGTAGATGTATGTGTGTGGCCTAGCGTTGTCCTGGTGGAACACGACACCCCTCCTAAATGGTTTAAAACAGTTTTATGGTCGATTTTTAGCTCCTGGGCGATGTTACGACTGCTAACATGCCGGTAAACAATTTTAGCAGCTTGGTCGATTGAAACCCATGGAATATTGACCGATCATCAGCTGTTCTAAATATTTTGTAAAATATGTGATGTTCTGCTTATAAATGAAATCCAGAACGACTAGAAAATGTGACAAAAAATATCATTTCAACATCACCGAAAATTATAGAAGATTATAGCAATATTTCAAAGCGATCAGCGCGACAATTCCGCTCTCTAGTGGGCGGACACTTTAAAAAATTAAAATTAATAACTCCCAAATCGGTGCACATACAACAATTTAATTGGTATCAATGTTAAAGTCAATCACTTCTCTTGAATATACTATCAACTTCTAGGATCTATGTCTTTCTGGAGTAAATGTAAACACCCTAGAATACAAAGTTTTAGTCCAGTTTATTTTCTAAATATTAATCGATTATTACGAACAACAATAAGGGTCTTCTTTGGCTAGAACACATCCTACTGGCAAAATTTCGTAACGATTGTTCCATAACTGTGGCCTGTAGGGGATGCGCTATTGGCCAGAGATCCCAATAGCAAAAAATTTGCAATAATTAGAGCAGTGGAGTTATGAAATAAATATCACATATAAGGGTTTCAGGGACGCTGACTACAAACAATGTAAAATTCGATAGGGTGGATCGAAAATGACGGTTATTCAATTCGCTTCAAATTAAATTTATAAGTTTATAAAATACTGAAATTTTTTGAGACATTTTTTTGGAGACGGCCGATTGGTCCCATTTTCAATCTCGATCTAGGCTTGGTAAAGTTAATAGGTTTTGCGAAGTATGATCAATATATATATATATATATATATACAACAAATTTTCTTAAGGAGATTTTCTATCTAATGAAAATCCAAAATGTGAAATTTAAAATATTACCAAACTCAACAAAATACAAATAAATCTATAAATACCAAATTTCGGCTAAATCGGCTTAGAAATATGCCAAAGAAGTTGCCAAAATACCGAATATTGTTGGGTACCACTATATGGGGACAACAATTGCGTATTTTGGGGATTTTTTTCGCCTGAAGGGCTTGTCACGCCAACACTAAATTGATTTCATGAAACAAATTGTTCATAAGTCGAGCTCCTCATGAAATATTCATCAATCGATTTGACTGAAGATATGCGATCTCAAAAATAAAACCTCTTATAAGGGTGATTTAGATTTAGTTTAAGGGAACCCCACCCATTCTCGATTTTAATTTTTCAAGATTTTCAATGGGCTGGTAAATCAATACCAATGCTTGTTAAGGTTTGTAACTTTGCACATATATATTTCAAGATTTAAAAAAGAAGAAAAATAATTTACAAAATTTGTTGTTGTTGTTTTTTGTAATTAAAGAGAAGTCCATATTTTTGATGGCGGGCATGATAACTCCTCACTGGAACATCGGAATCCGGAAATTCCAAAGGTGTTAGAAAGAGTACATGTCTGGCTCTCGTATGAACTAGGATTATTGACTTCGCTCTTAAATTAACAAAATGGCTGACCTTTGAAAAAATATTTTTGAAAAATCGCCGATTTTTGACCAAAAACCAAGTTAAAAAATAAGGAAGATCTTCACCGATTGGCTTTATCCTAGTTCATACGATAGCTATACACTCACATAGAAACGTGTAAAAATTTGGAATCGATTGGGTTATTAGTTTTTGAGTAATCGTGTCCGTCATTCACAAGAAAATGTTTAGAGAAAAACGCGTTTAAAGTTAGAGAAGCCCTTTAGCCGTCACTTGATGCTGACACAATAAATCGGCTATATCTTCAAGAGTTCTTGAGATTTACACTTAAAATTTTGTAGGGACATTCTTGAATTAGTGTAGATTCGAATTAAATCAAAAACATTTTTGACCCCGAGAATGGGGGGGGGGGGTCCCCTTAAAACATTTTATTGCTACCAATTGATTATGAACATCTTTTTTTTAACCTGTCAAGAAAAATAATTATCATAGCTGATTTAGAGAGCACTTTGCACTAAAAGCTTTTACAATAATTTCAATTACAACTACTTCTGTTTGCAATTCTCGTTTCAAAATTGAAACTATCTCTCTCTTTCTCAAAATTTGATATCTTCAAAATACTTTTTTTTTTGTAATTGTAGTGGTGTAAAACGTTGGCGTCATCATATGTACCACAGCTCCAACAGATTGAATTCCCTTTTTCTAACTGTAGATTCATTAAAAACATATCAAGAGTTTTTATTTTTAATTTCCATCGCTGCTGACTGACTGACTGCAAATCGTTTGTTTGTCTCTCAGCTCTTTTCACTGGAGAGCCATGTACATATGTAACGCAGTGGATAGTAGTGGTTGATTGTAGTTAAAAATGATGATCATGATAGTGACGTTGATGATGATTATTACAATTTTTGAATTTCGTCTATGAAAATGAAAAAAATTTTTTTTTGTTTATGTTTCTCCTCGTCTGACTCCGTCTGTCGCTGTCTCGTTGGTTCCAGTATCTGTTCAACTTGTTTTTGTTTTGTTTTGCTAAAACGTAAACTACAACTAAATGTTTGTTTTGGTTTTTCTACGACGCATCCACAGACTTTGTTCGAGTATGTTGTCGTCGTTCGATGCTGGACAGACTTTTCATCTTAATTTCGTCTTAAAAAAATAATAAATTTTTTGTATGCCGAAAAGCTAGCCTGAGAGCACTTGTTGCATTGGCTTTTTTTTGAGATAAAACGTTGTTGATGTGACTTAAAAGTTTTCCACTTTTTTAGATTTGTGGTATTTTTTACTAGGAAAAACTGTTTAGGCGATGTATGCACAGCAAGAGTTTATGGTTAACGGGAAATATGGGATTTCCCCATGGAGTTAAATGTTAATAAACAACAAATATGAAAATAAAAAGTATTTCGGTTGTCGGTTAGATGAATAAACATTCGAATTATTTTACGGAGTATAGATTTTTTTTATTTGATCCATTGTCTTACATTATGAACCTGACTTTTGGAAGTAAACGATATGGTTAAGGGCTAATTAATATATGTGTATGAATTTATTATATATGCTACAATACCACCAAAAATTTGTCGAATGGATTTATTTCAAACTTTATTTTCACTCTTAAAATTTCTTCCAAACTGTAATCAAGACAGGGAATATCGAACCAAACTTCTGGTATATACCTAGAATTAGTTCTCTTTTGGAGTTCAGGTTTTTAATATCGATTATTTTTAAAAGAAGTAGTTCCAAAAATTTATTTAATAAAAGGTACTTAATTTAGTAGGAGATAGGGGCACTTTTGACAAATTTTTGCTTTCAAGCCACATAAC